TTACTATAAATCTATAGTATGATTTAGTCACAATATGGCTGAAATATTGCCGATGTGACTTAAAATATGAACTCGCTCACTCACTCACACAAAACAGAACAGGTTTCTAACTGAGGAAATACCTGAAATGAAGCTTACTGACACAGTTGGTAGGGATGTCACGATACATAAGTTTCGTGAATCGATACGTATTACGATACCCATGTCAAGATTCGATGCATATCACGATACCTATTTTCGCGGCATTATTGCGTAAATTTAGTTACATTTTGAACATTAATATTTCATATTTTATAATTGTCCATGAAAAGATCAACATTTTTTATTCTCAGTGAGTTCTAATTTCCCATCTTTGCGCATGAAAAATAATCATAATCTCATAACATCAAAAAACATGATACAATTGCAAAATGTAAATGATACATAAACATATTTAAACCGATACTTTCAAAACTAGATATGGATACGGTTTTGAATGTATTCACTCACATATTCGGTGAATCGAACAAAAGCCCTTCATGAATTCAAATCGTTATTCGTGGTCACCAGAAACAAATATTAACAAATATTTATGATTTATATTTTTAAGGGAATGTGTTTTCCTTGAACCCTTATGTCCTATTTCAAAGTGAGATATGCAAGAATGGAATATGTACTAGCTTGATGTCATGTTAGTTTTAGAGGGCCGCATATGGAAGTTGACTATAACTATTCCATACCAAAGTTGAGTGTCATGAGATCACTGGTTATTGCCATGACAAATTAACACTGTCAACATTGGCGTTCCATATAGTGCATCAATCACGTAACTATAATATTGTATTCATGAATAATTATTCGCATTCGTTACCAGTATTCGTGATACATATCATATTCGCCACATAGTGTATTAGTTGCAGGCCTAGTATCGTCTTAGAAACAGTAGCGATGTATCGTGGCATCCCTAACAGTTGGTAATATCTCATTGAATATCACATGCTCTTGCGAGATCTGATTTTCAGCTTAAGCCTATAAGTTTTACTTGGTTTCTTTGCAGGAAGTATTTAAAATTTTCAAGATTTGTTTTCATCCTTCCTCTATCCAAAATCGAATCCCCACATGGGTACAATGAGTGAAGCCCATTTCTGGTGTCCCCCGCCGTGATGTTGCTGGAATATTGCTAAAATGCGGCGTAAAACCAAACACAGTCAGTCAGTCAGTCTATCCAAAACAACCCTTTTGCCTTTTCAAATCCGTTAAACAAAACTTTGGTGGCTTTATTTCCAAATTGTTTCCCATCATGATACAGCAAATTTGGTCCAAAGAATCTGTAATTCAAGAAAAATAATTGTTTGTTCTTATACTGAGAACATTCATCACATGAATGCTATTTCAGCTAATTTCCACCTTTAAGACTTTTCCATTATGAATTAACTCATAGCAGTGAGGCGATTAATATTTGATGACCTCTCCATACAGGAGAGGGGACTTCCTTATAGCCTAAACATTGCAACAATAGATCCCTTTCTGTAATAATCGTGAGATATGCATAATTGATACATCTCCCAAAGATCAGCGCCAACAACAAGGGTTATGATTTACAAGTGACCCTGATTCCCACAATAATTTTGGCACACATGGCATGGCAGTGAGAACTTTGTAGACTCAAGTTGTCATTGCAAGAATTTATTGCATTCTTTTGTAACCGAATTTGGAATTTGGTGGAATTTCTTGAGCCTATCTGTAAATCATTCTCTGAGCTGTGTATTAAATATGAGTACACAATGTCAGGGTTCCGGCTTGGCTTTGTAAAGTTTGTAAATGCCATTATGGAGAATGTTATGTATGTGTGAAGTATTTGTTACTTTGATGCTCTGTGAATACTTATGGGCACTGCAGGGTCGACAGTGTCGACTGGTCTACCTGTATTCATTAGATGGCCACTTTTTGTTCCTCGTTTTCAGACTGGTTTGATTAACATGAAGAAATAAAAAATATACATTTTTCCTTATCCCGACTTAAACTAATTTCTTATCTATCACTCTCCTAAAATGTAGGGTGGTGGGGTAGCCTATTGTTCAAAGCGTTCGCTCATCATGCCAAAGACTCGGGTTTGATTTCCAACATGGGTACAATGTATGATGCCCATTTCTGGTGTCCCCCCACCGTGATATTGCTAAAAGCGATGTAAAACTAAACTCACTCACTTCCAAAATGTATTGAAACTTTCTGTGCTGTGTTCCCCAAGAACAGAAAAACATCTCACCTGAATGCGATTCTTGTTAATTTCGAGAGAAAATATGGTACAAAGAAATATAATTTTATCAAGCACAACCAGGATTATATTATGATATTTACACAAGTGATTTACAGATTGGGCCTGATGATGCCATGACGAATATTCTATTTTGGATTATGATAATCATTGTTCAGATTGTTTATCAAGTTTATGATTTTCCTGATCACGTTCACGATAAATAAGATCCTATTGTTATCTGTTCCTGCAGAGCTAGGGGTGGTGACGTAGATGTTAAATTATACGCTATCATGCGGAAGTCCTGGGTTCAATTTCCTTCATAAATGAATGTGTTTGAAGACAATTTTCTGGTGCCCTAACAGTGTTCACGAATGGTGTTTCAAAGTAACAGTCCTGTAAGTTTAAGATGTCTGTCTGACCCATTGAAAATTCACAGGACCCATGGAATAAAATTAAACACACATTTCAGATTTTACATTTCTTATAATTGGCAAAAGTCAAAGTCATTGTGAATGTACGGTCAGACACTGGGGCCGGCAGGTTGTAGACTTCTATCGGACCGTTGGCAAATCTGCCGGATCTGTCAGAGGGTCAGATGCTATTCGTGAACACTGCCCTAAATATTGCTGGAACTTTGTTTAAAGTACTGTCAACCCATGCTCACTCACTCACTCGTATGGGATTACTGATAGCCTCAGCAATGTTTGAGTGAGTGAGTGAGTATGGTTTTGCGCCGCTTTTAACAATATTCCAGCAATATCACGGCGGGGGACATCAGAAATGGACTTCACACATTGTACCCATGTGGGGAATCGAACCCAGGTCTTCTGCGTGATGAGTGAACGGTCTAACTACATTGCTACCCCACTTCCCCCCAGCTGTGCTTGAAATTAATAAAATTGCCTAGCTGCCACCATGACCAACATAAGAAACTGCAGTCCCTGACAAAACTCTCTAGTTCCCCCTACAAGATCAATGCGACATATTGTGATAAGGCCAGACCAATTTTATTTCTGGTTTTACTGATCCGCTAGTCGTGTTTTTACAAGAATAAGAAAAAGTTTTAAATTAAGTTTTTTTCTGGATTTTTGCTTTGGTGATTTTTTTTTTTTTTTTTTTTTTTTTTAAATTCCCCCTCCTTGCCTTTAGGTTTTCTGAGGACAAAAATCTGTAAAACAAGAAATAAAATTGGTCTGACCTAAGCAAATTAACATGTACACAGTTACTGCACCCCAAAGGACTCATACAGTATTTGAAACTAAAAAAAGAAATGTGGTTCCAATTACCTGACCGACCCTTGCATTCTGGTGCCGACCCTAGTTTTTTAAAACGGTATGAATAAAATAAGCTTTCAGATACTATTGTTTTTCCCGGGACCGATTCACATCAGTCATTTTGATAGAGAAAGTCGACATGATGTCCGCAAGCTTGATTGAATAAACAATTACATACACATTGATAATTATGTTATTAGTTTGTACTTTACTTCTAAAACAAATGTTTAAAAAAAAATCCTAAATACTAAAGAGGTGTAATCGGAACCACAACATATTTTTTTATTTGGCCCTACAGCAGGGCACAAAATGTCAGACTTGAGATGATATTCAGAAATATAGATTGGAAGAATTATTAACGATTATTGAAATGAAAACTGTGTCATCAATATAACTAGCATAAGTATTGTGAGGCAATAGTTTTACTTTACACACACTACACCCAATGCCCAAAGTTACATTTCTATTGATGGACTGCTTCTATATTATGTCGTCAGTTATCCATGCGTAAAAGTGTCACCTCCGAACAGTGACATGAATTATGTTGATTTTTTTTTTTTAAATAATATATTTTTTCCCAAAATGTTTGTGAATATTAATTGATATTTTGCTGACAATTATCATTCTTATTAGCTAGCCCTAACAAAATCTGGCCAGGTGCTGATTTTGAACAATGTTCCTAAAGCTTGTCAAGCCTCTCAAAGTTATTTTATTCATCGGTTTTATAAACTTTCATTCATACACTGTCACTGCAGTTTCAAATTTCATTCCTAGGGAATTTTTTTTTTTTTGCTTTTTAGATTTGTTTTTACATCATTTGCAAGGATGTAATGTAAACTTTTTCAGGTTGAATTTTTTATGAATTATTGAAATTGAATCCTATGCCATGTTTTGGCAACAATTAGTGTTGGTTATTTAATTCATTTTCATAAATCAGTTTCTTTCTTCCATCTTGTATCTATAACTACATACTCTTGAAAGAACTGTTCATAGATGTTTAAATTTCCAAAAGAAACATGGATTGGTAAGCAAGCAAAATGCTTACATCTTACATCAAATCGCTCTGGTAATAATGAACAATAGAAGACTGTTCTAAATATTTTACAAAATGTAAATAATGTCATAACAAAGGTCAACAAAGTCAGCCTTGTGAGTTAGTGGTACCAACATGAAACAGATTTATAGATGGGAATTCATTTTACATTCAGTGATACCAAAAAGTATGATCATTGAAATCTTTTGCTTGTTATGTCCCCAACACGCGTTTAGTGCAAAGCAGGGGATATAGTATTAGGCTCCGTCCGTCCGTCCATCCATATGTACGTACGAATTGGAATATCTTGAGAACCGTTGACTAGATTCTTTTCATATGTGGTACCTAGGTTCATCTCAGTTTGAGAAAGGTCCCAGTCAGGTTTGGTGACCTTGACCTTCATTTCAAGGTCACAAGGGGACTTTAACATTTTATTATTAACCGTTTTACATTACAGGATCTGTTTAATCAGAACAAAGTTGTTGTGATCAAGATTCTCCACACAACCTACTTCAACATCGGGGCACAGGAAGCGGAATGTTTGAGACGGCTTGCTGTGTCTGACCCTCACCATGTTTCTCACACAGTCAAATTGCTTGTAAGTATGTCGGGATTAAAGGTTGAAATTGTATGGATGTCAGCTTCTGTAACATGAGGTGTGTATTATTTATCCTTCATCAGGTGAACCGCCTCCGTGGTGTAGTGGTTAGAGCGTCCGCCCGAAGAGCGGAAGGTCGCGGGTTCGATCCCCGACCGCGTCATACCAAAAGACATTAAAATATGGTACTTGTTGGTCTCTGCCTGGCGCTCGGAATTAATGGGTACAACAAGGACTGGTCGGCTCGGAGTCAGTATACTGTATCTGAGTGGGGTATTCATGCTAAACTGCAGCATGGTATCTCAGTGAGCTAGCACTATAAAACCAGCTTCAGTCTGGGCTAGTACAAGCAGACACACATACACATACACACGCATGCACGTCGTCATATGAGCGAAATATTCTCAAGCACGACGTTAAACCCAATTTCACCTCACCTCACCTTCATCAGGTAAATGAAACAATAGAAGCCAGTGGTTTGTTGATGATACTGATAATTAATAAGAACTGTTAAGTATGGATACCACGATATATCGATACATCGATGCATCAATACTTTTTCTAAGACGATACAATTATCGATACATTCAGAACTGTATCGATATTTAGTTTTGAAAGTATCGGTTTAAATATGTTTATGTATCATTTACATTTTGCAATTGTATCATGTTTTTTTGATGTTATGAGAGTTTTAAAGATCACATATACTCTAGGGGGTACAAATACATATATCATTTATTGGCATCATTATAAATAAAACCCAGTCATTAAAACTACTCATTTCGACATTTAATTAACATAAATCGACCTTTTTGACAACAGTGCACAATTCTCCCTCGCGAAAGAAATTTCACCCAATCAGAGAGGGGCGTCTCTGTGACGTCATATGAGGAATAGCTTTGAGGGCCGATGCAGAATTCATCTACATTTTAGGGGGTAAATTATCTTGTTTACAGTTTTGTCTAATCCTAAAAAATCCTGACAATATTTGTGAAAAATGAAAGCTTTATGTTTTCACAATCTACTGTCATAAAATCTTGTCATCTGCTTTGCCTAGCTTCCAAGTTACAATTTGTTTTCATAGACGATTCTGTCAAAATCGCAGTGGGACATTAGGAAGGGTGGATGCCCATCAGATGCTGTTATTTGGAAATATCCTCGGTACTTGTTGTTTTGTAATAAAGTATCCCAACAGTGTAAGATTTTTCAGATTTTCTTATGCTTGGATGGTATTAAGACTGATCCAATTTGTTCCTATTTCAGTGTTTTTACCTCGATATTTAATCATGTTATGTGAAAATATGATGTCTATTTCCTATGACATTAAAAACACACATTTCATGTATCTGAATCCGTAAACTAAACAACCCCACTTTGCCATTGTAAGAAATATCTGAAAATTTACTTGGGTAAATGGGTACTAACAATTTTTAACTCAGTACACAACAAATGCTTATGCAATAATGAAGTTCAGTTCGTATCGTCAAAGCAGTGTCAGCCCATGATTTTTTTCAGCCAGTCAAACTTGCATGCAATACAGCGATTACTACTCTCTTGCTGTAACCCTTGTTTGGTGGTAAACCTACACATATGTTATTTGTCATCATTCACTTGATGGTCAGTCAATGAATTTATAACAGGTGTAAATAGTGGCAACACCACTCAGATTACCCGACAAAGGTTCCCATTTGGCATTTCTCGAGTCTGGAGTAAATACTCAGCATGATGAATTAAGGTCTGATGTGGCAAGTGGATTACATCTTATGCAATATGCGCATGGAGGTGCAGCAAGAGTATCAGCTGAGTTACAAAAACAAACATTGATCAAAGGATTAACCGATAACACGCTGATTGATTAATTGCTTTTATCTTGCACAGCGAATTTGTTAAAAGGTAGTGTTTATGTATGTGGATTTGCTAATCTATACTGAATATACCCTGTCGTAAAGTGTCTGTGTAAAAACAACGTCCTTTTTTCAAAGGATTAACTGCCAATAGATTGATTGATTGTTCATTATTGGCTAACTAAATTACTTATTTTTCCTTATCCTGACTCATGCTCTTTTTCCTTGTCTTCTTCTTCTTGCGAACATAGTGGAACACTTGTATCTCCCTAATTGAAGCTCCCTTCAATGTAAAATCACTAATTAGTACTCACCACGAGTTGCCTCCCTCTTCCATTGCGCGGGAAAGGAGACGCCACCCTCTGGCCTCATGCTTCACTCTCTCCTTCTTCGCCCAGTGAGCAGGATGTGAGAGCGCCTGTGTCTCCCTACACACTATATCCTTTGATTATTCTTAGTTAGTTACCTCTTATAGTTTACTATAGAGGTGTAGCTAGTATCCTTCAACAATTATGTATTGATAATTAATCGTATTTCTGCTGTTTATTCACGGGACGCCGTGATTGTTCAGCAAGTTTACGTTGATGAAAATCTGTACTATTTGTAGATTACGTTTTTCTGCTGCTGATCCATTTAATATGCCCTAGCTGTACTTTCGCCATGTGTTTTCTTCACGTTGCAGTTACTGTATTAATCTATCTAATTCTGCATTTAATAAATATTATCTTTGCGTCTTGAGGCGTGCAGCAGATAGGTCCACGCAACCAAGGTTTAGCCATGGCCGATACGCCGGACCCCTAGCCAGTCAGCTGCTGTTGGACCCCCCCTCCCGCCTGGTGTTCCGCTAGAGTTACCCTCGAGGGAGGCGTGGGATGCAGTCCGCCCGTCTCCAAGAAGCGTCCTGCATCCCCAGACATCCCGTCGTCCCAGCCTAAGACTAAGAGGGCTTCGACATCATCTCAGCGCAGACTCCATTACCCCCAGGGCAGCGTCTACCTCCAAGGGAAATCAGCGAAGTCTTCCAGAACCTTCTCAGCCGAGATTGTTCCCGCCGCCAGAACTGGGCCTGTATGATGATCAGCCGAGAAGGAAGATCATCTCATCCCGGACTCTGACTTCGACCCCCAGCCTTCCGAAAGCCTTAGCGAGCGAAGGTCAAGTCGTCGCTCCCCAGGTCCGGACTCAGATGAAGCTTAGCGAAGGTCTTCCGCGAAGGGCTCCAGTTACAGGCTCCAAGTCATCTTCGTCCTAGAGGGTCATCAAAGGGATTCCATAAGAGCTTCGCGAAGCTATCAACGCGTTCACCACATAGATCTCAGCGAAGGTCACCCTATAGGCGCAGTTCGTCAGACCGTTCTCCTCGCCGTTCTCCATACCGATCACCTCGTCATTCACCTCGCCGATCTCCTCGCGGAGTCACAACACCGTTCGCCGCACAAGTCTTCACGGAAGTCCCAAGTCAGGTCTCCATTAGCGTCACCCTGCACAGCGGTAGAAGCATACAAGTCACCATCGGAAGAGCATCAACCTCTTATCAGCGATCCCGTTATAGAAGATGATGGAGGCATCATTTTCTCCGGCAGCTGAGATACGCTATTGGATGGTTAACAACCTGGACCTAGCTTCACCTTCCAAGAGCGGTAATCCGCCCACACTTACCTGATGAAGGAGGATGATGCAGATACCATCACCTTACCTCCGATCAACCCGATTGCTCTACGGTCCCACAGAATCTGGACACAGCCTTCCATAAAGCCACACAAAGTCCAAAGCCACACTTACCACAGTTCAACGCAGAAAGAAGTTCTCAACCCATAATATGGACCCCTTCTTCAAGGCACAAGAGATCAATGATAACTATAAAGTAATCAGCGATGTCAAGAATAAGAACTATAAGATTGATGACCCGCAAGCTGGTTCAGATAGAAACCATGACAAGGCAAATGTTCTTAGGCCTTAATAGATCTAGAGCGATCAATGAGACTCTTATCTCCAGATTTGAGATTCGACATCTGAAGATGACAGAATGATCTACTCGGCCCTACTTATGCAAAGAAGGACCAGCAGTTTCTAACGGATCATCTCACATCAGTCTCTGCAGCGCTAACTCTGGCTCGTCGTCAAGGCCTCCTCGCTTCCTGCAGCTGGGGTGAGCAGTTTACAGCTCCACTCTACACAGCCCCGTGGTCTACGCCATCCATCCTCGGCGGAGGAATAGACAAAGTCTCTAAGGAAGTCACCAAGGATTCTAGAGAAGTCCTTATGATAAAGTCGATGGACACGCTAGCCAAAGCGTCATCAGGCAGACTTCACAGAGATATTCAGGGAAATCTAAATTCACTGGATTACAGAAAGCTGCAGGGATAGGAAGATGGCCAGCTCCAGAGGAAAAGATTCTTTTAAATTACGCCCATATGGCAACTACAGAGGAGGATCAGGAAGAGGCAGGGCACCCAGAGGTTCCCGCAACTATAAGCGATGAAAGACAGGTTCGGAACGACTGGAGTCTTCCACCCCCAGCCGTTCCAGTACAACCGTCACAAGTGGGTGGACGCCTTCAACTGCACTGGGAGAACTGGGGAATGTTACAAGACCCATATGTCTCCAACATTCTTCAACACGGATATCGAATCCAACTACAGGCCACCCCTCCGCTGACAGTCAACCCTCACAAGTTAGAGCTTCCAGAGCATAAGCAACTACCAAAGTTAAGAGAGGCTGTTACATCTCTCCTAACCAAGCAGGCCATAGAAGTACTAGATCAAGTAAACATCGAACCAGGCTTCTACTCCCCAGTTTTCCTAGTGCCCAAGAAAAACTCCAAGGAGAAATACAGACTCATTTACAACATGAGCACATTCAACAGAGATTATCTCGCATGGAAACCGCTAGCGTTTCGCATGATACATCTACCTCAACTACGGCACCTAATTAGTCCCATGGACTACATGGCCAGTATAGATCTGCAGGATCGTATCTACACATCCCGATACATCCGAATCCAGGAAATACCCTACGGTTTACACTAGGCGGGCTGCATTATCAATGGAAAGTACTCCCCATTTGGAATATCATCGGCCCCTGGTTATTCACAAGAGTAACGAAACCTATAGTCACCTACCTACATCGTCTAGGGGCTACGCGAAAGTCGCGTTCTACCTCGGCGACAGGATACAAGTAGATCAAGATCCACAGCATCTCAAACTACAGTTAAACTTCATCATCAAGCTACTAACACAGCTAGGATGGTTAGTAAATCTACTCAAGTCTGACCTAGTACCAGCGCAAGATCTGCGATTTCTAGGCATTCGATTTATCACGACACTGAACCATATCGTTAAATTACCAGAAGACCGATGGTTCAAGATCCAACAGACCATTCCACAAGCCTTACTCTCTCCGCTACCACTCACGACAATGGCAGAGTCTGTTGGGTCTCCTCCGCCAGCCCAAGACATGACAGTCAGAGGCAGACTACAGTTACATCCGTTACAGGTCTTCATCAATGCTCATCTCGGCGACCTACAGCCATTCAGTCTACCGAAACACATCAGACCTCATCTACTATGGTGGACCAGGGTGTCGAATGTCTGCGAAGGCATTTATTTAACAGAGCGAATTCAAAACCCATCTATATGTAGACGCTAGCGTCGGCTCCAAGGTTGGGGAGCTCATCTCGCCAACCGGACGGCATCAGGGTTATGGAATCAGCAAGAAAGCAAGCTCCACATAAACATACTAGAGATGAAAGCTGTAATCAACGCCATACTTCATTGGAGCACCATTCTACAGAAGGCATCTGATGATTCATACCGACAACTCAACAGTAGCGTTATATATGTGAACAAACAAGGCTCAAGCGAGATCACTGAACCTATTGACTTTATGCTTTCAACTGTTCGATCTAATCGGCGATCTCAACCTACATGTCAGAGCATGTCACATTCCGGAGCCAAGAATGTACTAACAGGCGACTCTCGGCCACACCTACGTCACACCGACAGAATGGATGCTCCATACAGAAATCTTTGCACAGATTATCAAGAAAATAGGAGCTCCACCAGTAGATCTATTAAGCCACTCGCTTCAACAATCAGCTAACAACATTCGTATCACCAGTCCGGATCCACAAGCGTGGGCAACGGGCGCTCTAAGCATAT